TTCCACAGGCACCATCTAGAAGGGCTGTTTCACTACCAAATCTAAATTAGGAACATCACCTCCTCCCAAAGCCATTTGTTCACGAAAGAGAAAATACCGAAGGACATGAGGGCATCACGTCTGCACACGGTGGGAACAGGGTCCTGTGAAGGTCACCTTCAGACCTGTCCAACGAGCTCCCAGCATTCAATGAGGGGGAGCCACGTGCAGGAGACATGGAGTGCAGGGCGTCTCCACTCTGAGCTCCGGGTGGGAGAGACGAAGGGAGCAGCCAGGTGAAGCTAGGGTTGGACAGACAGAGGCCTGTGTGGCCAGTGGTGAGGGTGGGTGGGCAGCAGGACTTTCCTGCTGAGACGCGCTAGGGAGGCCGTCCCTGGAGCTGTCTGCAGCGTGGGTCTGGGCTGGGTGGTGTGCAGAGCATGAGAGCACAGGTCAGAAGCCATCTGCACATCTCTCCTGCAGGCTGTGCACAAGGCTGTGCTGACCCTGGACGAGAAAGGATCCGAGGCCGCAGCGGCCACCTTTACGGAGATCGTATTTTATTCTCTTCTCTTCCCGACATGCTGAAATTTGACCGTCCATTCCTTGCCATAATCGTTGATGAAGAAACTGAGAGTCCCCTCTTCGTGGGCAAAGTGGTGAACCCCACACAGCGGTGACCTCTCGGGGCAGTTCCCTTCCTTGGCAACAAAGGCCAAGCTGGCCCATGTGTCACTCAGGATGACCTTCACACTTATAGTCCTTTACTCCCCGAGAGTGTGTTTAGACTCCAGTTCCCGCGTCCCTCACTGTCCTTCATATTCATGAGGTCTCTGTCCTGGGCAGGCAGGACTGGCACAATCCTCAGTCCATAGCCCTGAATCCATATGAGCCCCATAACTGTATTTGGTCTGGGAATTCTGGGGTCCTCTGGCTCAGACACCAGCATTAGGCCCAGGATCTACCATGTCCCAAGTCCCTGTGGGAGTGCTCCCCACACCCACTCCCTCCCCACAGCCACTCCCACAGAGATGGCTGTGCCACCCAATGCCGCCCTCTGTTCCCAGAGCCTCCAGCCCAGCCTTGGTGTCCATGCTCCTGTCCAGCCCTGGCATCAGCGGCTGTCTCTCCTGCCCCTGAAGGGAGAGGACCCCATCCACTCTCCTCCTCTTGTCAGCTCAGTCCTGGCCTGGACTCCACATCTGCCTGAGACTCACGGAGCATAGCTCCGGGAGGTGGAGTGGAGCCTTCCTATATGGGCAGCTGTGAACACCGAGCTCTGTCCTTGTGATCCAGCTGGGGACACCCAACTCTGTCCTCGTGATCCAGCCCATGCCTCCCCTCTCCCATTTTCCTCCCTGCCCACCCTTCACCCAGGCAGTGAGCTCTGGGAGGAAGGAGCCTCTGGGCAGTGGGCAAAGCTGTGTCTAACTGACCTCAAGTCCCATCTTAGCCTTCTTGGGGCAACTTCTGTCCCTCTGTGAGAAAGTCAGAGGCTCACGAGGGCTTTCCCACAACTGAACCCATCCTTGCCACCAAAAGCCAGAAGACAGTAGTTTAGGTTCACCTGAAGATGCAGGGGAGGCCCCTGGGGGGGGGGGGGGGGGGGAGGGGAATTGGTGCTGTGCCCTCTAGAGGTGGCACATCAAACTGCAGGCCCTGACCCAGTACCGGCTTTGGGGTGGGAGGTGAGGGGGCTCCTTCAGGCCAGGTTCCTAGACCACCCATCCCACCCTGGAAATCCTGTGATTCTCCCCTCCCCAAAACCTCTCTTCCAAGGACTCCAGAGCCATACTTGGAAGAAGGCTTGTTTCTGGCAAAAAAAAAAAAAAAACAAAAAAAAACAAAAAAAAAAACAGGTGAATCCTTCTTGTCCTAGCACCTCTGAGACCTCATAGGACCTGCTGTTCTGTGCACATGGGTGTAGCACAGGCCGGAGCAGCTCAGAGATGGGCCTGGTAGCATCATGGGGACGGTAGCCCATCATGCAGCAGCCGGGCCTGGCACGCCGACCCTGGGAGGGCCGAGGCCAGCGTTGGGTCCCCGCTGCCTGTGCCAGCCTGGACTGCTGCAGACCACCCTGCCCCTGCATGAACCCACCCTGCTGCGCTCCTGCTGTGTTCAGAGCGCACGCTGCCCTGGAGCAGAGCCTCGGGTCTCCTTACCCACCATCTCTGCCAACTTCTGCTGGGCGCCTTCTCGGGGCCAGGCTGTCCTCAGACGGGGCGGAGGGGCTGGTGGTGACAGCACTCCTCATCCCCTGGGACCCACGGTGATGGCGGGGACGCCCTCCACATTGCAAACGTGCCACCGAGGCCTCAGGGTGAAGAGCAGCCAGGCTGGGGGCAGCACCAAGCCCCTCCGAGCTCGGAGCGCAGTCTACTGGGTCCAGGACCATCGTCAGCTCCTCTTCCTTCTCCCTCCTCCTCCTCCTCCTCTTCCTCCTCCTCCTCCTCGTCTTCTTGCTCCTCTCCTCCTTCTGCTTTGTTGCTCCTCCTCTTCCATAATGACATGTAGCTGCATGCCAGATCTGAAGCTCACTTGCCTGGGCGGTCCATTCTTATGGAGGAAGTGACTGCCAAGCACACAGGAACCACTGGACCCCAGGGAGCTCCAGAATGTTCCTCACTGTGGGATCCAGGGCTAGTTGAGGGCAGCCCAAGCCCCCTTGTGATTCTCAAGATGCCCTGACTCCAGAGTTTGATCACTGCCTCAGGCTGTGAACACACTAGGGGTGGGGTGTCAGGGAACTGGGCACTTTTCTGGAATAAAAGATGCTGGACTTTAGCCGGGTGCTGGTGGCTCACACCTGTAATCCTAGCTACTCAGAAGGCTGAGATCTGAGGATCGTGGTTCAAAGCCAGCCCGGGCAGGAGAGACCGTGAGACTCCTATCTCCAATAAACCACCAGAAAACCAGAAGTGGCACTGTAGCTCAAGTGGTAGAGCACTCGCCTTGAGCTGAAGAGCTGAGGGACAGCACCCAGGCCCAGAGTTCAAGCCCCACGACCGACAAAAAAAAAAAGATGCTGGACTTCCACACTCACATGGCATTGAATTTATACCATTCTAAGCCCTCAAAGGTGTCAACTTCCTGACCCTCTGATTACCCTGCTGCTCAGGGACAGTTTGCACAGTTTATGGATGAGGAAACCAAGGCAAATTCAGTGACTTAACCACCAGGCTGCAGGAACCATCCCTCCAGCCTGTCTTCCCCGCTGCTGGGCACTGGAGGGAAGAAGGATGTGCCATGAGCCAAGAGGACTCTGCACATTCCTGCTGTCCTGCCCACCTTTCCAGTGTGCTAACTGCCCCTAACTTGACAGATGAGGAAACTGAGGCACAGAGAGATGGTGTGACTTGTCCAAATTTATAGCTCAGAGATGGCGGCATCCGTCTGACTCCAATACCTGGCTTCTGTCCAGAGCATTGCCGGTGCCACGGACCAAAGGTCAGTGGCGCCGTGCTCACAGCAGGGACAAGGGTATGTCCTTGGGGTGGCAGCCAGGCACAGGCTGACCCCTGGCTTCTGTTACATCAGCTGCTCACTCGCTGAAGCACTGAGGGAGGGAGCAAAGCCCAGATGTGGACTGTGGTGAAGGGGGTGTTGTGTTTTCACTTTCCTGAAACCAACCCCAGAGTTCCCCGTGTGTGACAGCCCTGTCCTGTCCTTGCGATGCCATGGGGGACAAAGCTGGAGCTGCTGTTCCAGTGGATGTGAGGTGAGTCCCAGAAACGAAGCCCTGGGTGCCAAAAGGAAGTTCAGCTCCCATCTCATAGCCAATGGTAGGTCCTGACTCTGACGTCGGGGTTGATGGCTTCCTGGGCATTGGTGTGCCATGAGTCAGTGAGGGCTAGAGTAACAGAAACAGAGAGAGAAGAATGAGAGGGACTTCAGTGACAGCACAGATCTCACAGCCTAACACATCCAGTCCTCTCTTGTCCCAATATTGACATGATGACGACACTGGGACTTGGCTTGACGTGCTTTGCCATCCCAGGTTCTTCCTGGCTCAGAGATCCCAGCCCTGTCCCGGAGCTATGTGTGTATATTCATTCAGTTAAGTCCCAAGCACCTAGAAACACTTCCAAAAGGTCTGCTAAGCTGGGCACCAGTGGCTCATGCCTGTAATCCTAGCTACTCAGGAGGCTGAGATCTGAGGATTAAAGTTCAAAGCCAACCCAGACAGGAAATTCCTTGAGACATGGAGATGAGAATCTCCAATTAACTACCAAACGCCATAAATGGAGCTGTGGCTTGAAGTGGTAGAGCACTAGCCTTGAGCACAAAAGCTCAGAGACAGTGCCTAGGCCCTGAGTTCAAGCCCTAGAACTACCACTAAAAACAAAAAAGTCTCCTAAAGGAACCCTGAGTCATTAAGGCCACCTCCTTCCGAACACCACAGGCTGTGTCCCTTCTACTATCACCACGGTTCTTTCTTAAATTGCCTAAGACAGAGCTTTCCCCGTGGGTAGAGGCTCCTCGAAAGAGCAGGTTTCAAGTCAAGTGTTTGAGAGGAAGCATGCTCAGCCCAAGAAGGGGTCTACCTTGTCCCAGATGCACTTTCCTTGGGGTTGAACCTGTGAGGTCCAAGGCTCCAAATGCTATAGTCCATGGCAGTAAACTGAAGGCCCAGCCCATGGCTGGTGAGTGTGGCCTGTGAGGGCTGACTGTCCACACAGCCGCCATCCCTCCCTCGCACCTGGCAGCTCCTCACCTAGTTCACGGGGTCACTGGACTTTGCTGCCCCTCCTTGTGACATGGGAGGGGGCCTTCTGAAGCCCGGAGACAGGGCTATATGGACTAAAACACAGAAAATGGGGGGAGGGCTGGTGGTGGCTTGAGCCTCCACACACTAAGCAGAGGTGAACCCCTGGGGTCCCTGGGTGTAAAGAGGGAGTGTTCTAGACTGGGCCCATCGGCAAGGAGTTCGCTCTCTGTGGGGATACCATGTCTTCCTTGTGGGTCTGGATGTTAATCATTAGCTGAGTGGGGAGGATTGCATCCTGCTCAAAGGCCCTGTTTTCTGGTCCACCTGCACTTGATAAACCACAGCTCTGACAGCCACCAGGGCCCCCCGCAGGACTGGCAGTGCGGTGAGTAGCCCGGGGACCCTGGACACATGGAGACTGCAGTGGGAGGGTGACACGTTTGCACAGGACTATGAGCTCTCCTGGGTCCCAGCAGTTCAGTGCTAAAGCCAGGAAAGTCTCAGGCCATCCGGGACCACAGGTCACTGCCCCGTGCCTCCTGGACGTGAGAAATGCCAACCCTATGTCCGGTGCCCGCTGTTCTTGCTGCAGTACTGTGCAGCAGGTATCCAGACCCAAAGCTTGAGGTGGATCAGGCTGGGGCCAAAGTCTTCCGGCTCCCAGACCAGGAGTTGTTGGCACGTTCCTGCCAGAGAAGATTCTGGGTGATCTCACATAAATCCACAGAGAAGTTCGTGGTGTTGGGGGTGGGGATCTTGGCAGCCATGCTGAGCAGGTAAGTGGAGATGTGTTTTCAAATGTCCCGTCCAGCTGCTGAGGGGAAACAGGAGAAAGACCACATAGGAGCTACTGCTGTAGTCAACATTAGAGAAACGTGGCTTTTCATTGGCCAAGAAGGGCCACTAAAAATATATGTGTGAAGTTGAAGATAGATGCGGTGAATGTCAAACATAAACATAAATGTAAGATGCGTAGGTGGCTGAGAGAAATGTCAATAGACAAACTCTTGTGATTTTTTTTGTTTGAAAGCGATTTCAGGGTCCATCAAGTTTTGCTACAACAGGGTTCTGTGTATTTGTGTACATTGTATCCAGGCTGCTTCCCAATGAGCCATGACCACAGAGGCTATGGCCCTGCCAGATCACAAGGTCACGATCGGGCCCTTCCCTTCCCTAGGGAAAGTTTCTAAGCCCTGGTTTGAGGAAAATACATGGAGACTTGGACTAGGATCCTGTCCTACAGGGGAGGAGAGAGGCCCAAGGATGTGAGAATGGGTGAAAGGGAGAGCAGTAGGCATAAGGCTGCCACAGAGATATTAGATCTGCTGCTGGGCTGTTGGCCCCAGAGTCCAATGACCATGGGTCCTTTGATAGAGCAAGAGCAGGTCTGGTGGGGAAAATGGCACCGTGTGCCTTGGCCAGGTCAAGTTCCTTGTGAGAAGGAGATCAGTACCAGTCACTGCCACCTTTAGCAGGTTCCGTTTGACCATCACTCCCCCCTTCTTGGAAGGGTTGTAATAAGAACTGTTCCCCTGGCCTCTGCTGGTGGAGGGGAGGGTCATAGGAAGTGTCGGGAAAGTGGACTGTAGACTGTAAAGTACAGCACGGACGGCAGGAGCAGATGCTCCAATGACCTTGGAAATGCTCAGCCTGTGTCCTGTCCCTGGGCCTGGAGATAAAGCATGGGGGTGCAGCGCGGGGAAGCAGGGCCTGGTGGAGAATAGATCTGGGCTCCCGCTTGGACACTGGCTAGGTGGTGACTTGGTCATTTCCTCTCCGAAATGAGACGAAGCCTCATTATGTTGACGGGGATGATAAATAAAAGGGATGGGGACACAGGAGCATGCTTTGTGAATCTAAAGAGCTGCTACCAAATAAAGGCACTATGCATATGGTGAAGAGCAGTGTGTCTCCCGGTATTCTGTCTGCACCAGAGCACAGGTGTTCCTCTGTAATGGAACTCCAAGGGTAAGCACAATCAGGCGATAAAAGACTCAACGAAGATTTATCACTGCAGGAAGTGAGCAGCAGGAAGAGCAGCAGGGCAGACACCCAAAGGAGTGTCTCCCTGAACACGGGGAGGCAGGACACTTACTGGGGACACTCAGGACTTGTTCACAATGGAAAGGCCCGCCATCACCTTCAGAGGCAGCACATGCTACCTTCAGGCTCAGTGGCAGATCACACTTCCTATGCTGTGTGGTCAAAGATGGTGGGCAGGAATGCCTGGGTGGAGGAAAGTTAGCTCTCGATAAGCCATGCTTACTGTAGCTCTGTGGAAGAGGGGCTGGATAGGCAATTCTATCCAGCTTGAACCGATTCCATGTTTTCTCTGGGTTTTCTCTGGAAGGTCTTATCTGAAACAAAACAAAACCAAGCCACAACAAAACAAAAACGTGAAGGGGTATGAGTCCTGTGGAGGGCCTGTAGGTCCTTAAAGCACCGGTGCTGGCTCCAATGAGTCTCCACCTACAGCAATGCGTCAGCACTCCTGAGGCCGGGCCTGCTGCTATCTCAGCAAAGCCTGACATCTGATCCGGAACACCCTAGGTATCTTTTTCCCTCTGCAGATCTGAGAGCCAAGCATGCATCGTGCTCTCTGCCTGCTCCTTTTGGTTGGATTCCTGGACCTTTCCTATGGTCAGGGTGACAATGAAGCTCCCACCAACAGCTCTGACAAGCAGGCTCAGGGGGCAGAGGAGGGCCCCTCACACCCCCAGGTCATTGCTGGCAATATGGACTTTGCCTTCAGCCTCTTTCACATAATTGCGTCGGAAAGCCCTGAGAAGAATATCTTCTTTTCTCCACTGAGCATCTCAGCGGCCTTGGCCATGCTGTCACTGGGGGCCCGTGGACAGAGCCAGACCCAGCTTCTCACCAGCCTTGGCTTCAACCTCACCGAGCTGTCCACACGCGATGTCCACCAGGGCTTCCAGCAGCTACTGCGTGTCCTCAGCCTCCAGGATGACAGATTGGAAATGCATTTAGGCAATGCGCTGCTGCTGAGCCACGACCTGGAGCTCCTGCCGGAGTTCCTCAATGACACCGTGGCCTTCTACAACCCCAAGATTTTCCGCCCCAATTTTGAAGACGCTGCGGGCACAGTCCAGCTCATCAACGACCATGTAAAGAAGGAAACTCGTGGAAAGATCATCGATTTGGTCAGTGAGCTGAGCCCAGACACCGAGATGATACTGGTGAATTATATCTATTTCAAAGGTAAGGTCAGACCACTGTAATCAGCCCACTGCTGAGCACAGAGGTTGGGGTGCTGCCCCCCAAAGTATAAGGGTGGGGGAACTTACAGGGAAGCAGGCAGAGACTGAGTGGCACAGCCAACCATCTCCAAGTCCATCTGATCATAACTGCCTGGAGTGATACGGGCTTGCACAGGGCTCGGTGCGATCATTCCTTGAAACCATGTGCTCTCCCTCACACTTATCTGTATAGCTGTATGCCAGCTTAACGCTCATCCTCAACCTCCTCCCCACATCTGCTGCAGCTGGCTGTGGCTGGAGGAAATGACCCAAGTGGACAGTGGTCTCGCCTGGTATTTGTGAGTGTGGGTCTGTACCAGCCACCGTACATCACCTACGGATGGTCCCCTCACACCTCTCTATGCTCTCCAGAACCAGGAGGATTGCTTCCTCCTTGATCCCCATGCCCTTCTCCACTCTTGCTTAAAAACCTTGCGTTGTAGTCCATGGAGAAAGCAGATGGAAATCTCTCACCTTCTTGCTTCCACATCTGCCCCCCTCCCTGCATTCAGAGCAGGGACCCACCTTGGATGGAGAGCCAGCCCCTCTGCTCCCACTCTGCTCAAGGATCCCCTCCTGTTCCCCCCCTTGAGTTCCAGCGCTGTGCACACAGCAGCTAGTGAACACTCTCTGCTACCTCTTCTTCCAAATGCCCTTGGTGATGCATACTAATGAGATAAAAGGGACCATGGCTGAGGGCTCCTGGTGGTGCTCTTCCCTTCGGGGGTTGGCTCTCTGGCCACAGATACTCTGTTGCCGCCTTCACATCTCCCTTTAGGTCTGTGGGAGAAGCCCTTCTCTGTCTCCACAACCAGGATGGATGACTTCCACGTGGATGCGGTCACCACGGTGAGGGTGCCCATGATGCGGAGTTGGTGGCCGCACTGGTATATTCACGACAGATATGTGCCCTGCTCCGTGCTGCGGTTGGATTACCAAGGCCCTGCAGCCGCCTTCTTCATCCTTCCTGACCCAGGCAAGATGAAGCAGGTGGAGCAGATGCTGACTCCAATGATGATAATGAAGTGGAACCGCTTGCTCCAGAACAGGTAACCAGCGTACCACCTCACGCTAAACCGGCCTGCAGATAGGCTCTTTACTGACAAGCCAGGGTCCCCAAACACGTGGTGGTGGCTTCATTACGCAAGATACTTGTCCTCGCTTTCCATGGGGTCCCCTGGATAGTGAACTCTTCTATGGTATTCATAATGTCATTTCACCCTCACCAGTGGAGAGAACCATCATAGAGGCTGAGGGATCTGGATGTAGCTCTTCTTTTGCACAGGCTATGGGTCGAGTGACATTGTGTCTCTGACATTGTCGCCCCCGTGTGAAACAAATAAGTGCCCTCTGGCTGCCTGAGTGGCTGAATAAAATTAAATCTACCCTCACAAGGGAGTAGTAAGGCAGCTTCCCACCACCCAATGCCCCAGAGTGAAAGGTTTTAGCCATAGTAGAGGAAAGAAGACATCGTGAGGTCCCCCAACGAGGTGAAAATTTCACTCCGCTCTGGCCAAAGAAATCCAATACAGAGCACGTGCACAGGGCCCAGCAGAGGCAAAAGCAAAGGGCCATGTGGAGGATTTGCACCCGACCCTCCCAGCCCCTGGATGCCCCAGAACTCAACATCTGTGGAAGATGAGTTCCCAGGGGCAGGAGCTCCCAGGCTGCAGGGCCCAGGAGACACAGAGGAACCTAGCCTGCTGCCACTGCAATTGCTCTCTGAGAGGGCACCTGAGCCACAGGCATTCCTTTTGAGCAAATGTAGAAGTGGAGGTATGGTCAGAGTACCCTTTAAGGAGGACTGAGCATTCCTGGAACCCTGGTTGCTTCATGAATCGAATGGTTTTCCCCAATCTTCTTTCCAGAAAGTTTTACCGAAAAGTGGAGTTGCATTTCCCCAAGTTCTCCATTTCAAGCTCCTATGAATTGGATCAGATTTTGCCCAAGCTGGGCTTCAGGAACATCTTCTCTCAGCAGGCTAACTTCTCTGGCATCACCAGACAGCGGAAACTGCACGTATCCAAAGTAAGTGATCAAGGATCAGCAAGTCTGTGAACGTCTTGGGGGAGGGGGGAGGGCGGGTCATGCCTCTAGGGAGCAGCTGGGGTTGGGACAGTCACATGCTAGGCACTGAGGGTCATGTCTCAGAGCTGACACAGCTCTGGCCCTCAAGGAGAGGAAATGCAATTTGGAAATAGCCCAGGTGTGTGTATGTGTATGTGCACATGTGTGTTTAAATAAGAGTAATGTGACTTTGGCTGGGGAAAGCAGACATGTACTAGAGACCCTCTCAGATTGAAGACTTGTTTCTTATGACTTTGGGACATTGCCTGGTCTTTGAATTAACTGTCTGCATGTGGAGAATGGTCAATATGATGCTGATTTTGTAGAATGGCTATAGTGATCACGTGATCTCGCATACACAGGGTTCCATTACTGATACCTGTCATCCAACGCAGTGACCACAGGTGTTTGCCATCCCAGCAATGGGTGGTTTGGCAATGCTGATTGCTAAGAGTTCCCTGTCTTCCAGTCCTTACCCAGCACCACCCAGCATAATGTCTGCAGAGGTAATGCCTGTGGAGGTAATGCCTGTGGTTTCTCTTGTAGAGTTTCCACAAGGCCACCCTGGACGTGAATGAAGCTGGCGCCGAGGCTGCCGCGGCCACTGGTTTTTCCATCGCTTTTTTATCTGCCCAGCACAACCCTCCAGTCCTGCGGTTCAACAGACCCTTCTTCATGATCCTCTTTTCATCCAGGATGCAGACTGTCCTCTTTCAGGGCAAGGTGGTCAAGCCCACAACCTCATAGCCCTCTCAGGTCTCCCCGCCCCCAGTGGGAGGACTTGGCTGGGAAGGGCTGCATGGAAGCGGCTCTGTGGTCAAGCCTGGGCATGTGAGAGGGGCTTGAGTCCAGGGCAGAAGCCATTGGCAAAGGGAGGGGCATGGGTGGATGGGGGTGAGATGGCTGGGGAGTGGGAGAGAGCCTCCTAGCTGGCCACATTGATTAAACCAAGTGATGTCTCGGAGACTCTGAAGTCATTCTGCTTACATACTGGACCCTCACAAAAGTGTCTTCTGCCTGTCCCTCTAGGGTTTACCCTGTCCTTCCCTGGAAAACCTGGGGACATAGGGAGAAAGGTGCTCTAGATCCTAGTAGGCTGTCCAGGTGGATGGTAAGGGGAACCCAGGCCTCCTTCCAGGTTAGGATCTGGGAAGGGGAGGCACCAATCCAGGCAGCCTGGCCTCTGGGCTGGTGAGGGCTTCCTGCCTGTGGCCATAAGAGGTACTCGTATTGCTCTGGTATGGGTGGCTTTGCCCAAGAGCTAGGAGACAGGAACAAGGGACAAGCTGGGAGCGTGTCTTTCACCTGCCAGCCCTGCCACTGATGTGCTATGGAAATTCATACAAACTCTGCCTCTTCTTGGGCCTCATTTTCCCCTCCTGAGTAATATAGGCTGTCCCAGCTGGTCCAGCCCATATTGAATTCTTCAAGGAGCAAGGTCCCTCACCTCCCCCCGCAGAGAGAGGGAGAATGAGCACAGCTCCTGTAGAAGGAGGGAGGCCTGCAAAAACTAGCTTCGTTAGCCGCTGACCTCAGTGGCGTATGACTAACGCCTCCTCTGGGCAGTGCCTATGGGTTTATTGGTGGACGTGGCTCAGGGACTGATTCACTTCCTTCTTCTTTTCGAGTGGAGTCTAGTCAGGTCTAAAAAGGGACCATAAGAGATTCTCCCTTGATACTGCCTGCCCTGATGCCTCAGTCCCTCCTTCTGCTCTCCGATCTCCTGTGATTTCAGTCACGGAAGATCCTGCTGTCTCCTCAGGCTTCCTCCAGCCTTTCTCCTACAGATTTCCATCTGAGACGCCATACAAGGCCTCACACAAATGCCCACACACACCCATTCAAGACAGAAGGCCATCCTGCTATCAAAAACAACTGGCCTGAGAATCATTTCACCTTTTTAACCTACCCCAGCCCATGAGATGAAACACCTCAGCCAGCACTATGTGCTCTGACTTCCTTGAGCTCCCTGATCCCTGCGCCAACTGTATACACCAGTGCCCCAGCCAGTACTTACAGAATGAATGAATGAACAAATGATTGAGTGAAGAAGTGAATGGGAAGGAAAGCTGGACACTGGGCTATGTACAAGGTCGCTGAGCTATTTGTTCTGCACCACCACTGCTAACAGGCCCTGGCCTGAAATTGATTGGGCAAATATTTAGTCCAACCTCTCAGATTTCAAAATGCCCTTTGGGAGCATTAAAGAGAATAACACTGAAGTGAAATAAAGATGTCAGGCAGGAGATGCTGCAGCCCGCTTGCGGTGCCCAGGCCCCTTTTACATTTGTCGCTGTCTTTGGGACCTTGGGTTTGTAAAGGTTCTGCCACTAGTCCAAAGCCAGTGTGCAGAGGGACCATCGTGTCTGTGATTCTCTGGCCATCTGCCAGCAAAAAAACATGTATGGCCTCTGAGGCGGAGTGCAGACAGAGGCAGCGTGATCACCTGTGACACACTCCGGTCCCCACGAGATCCTGGATCGCAGGAGGGTGACAGTGGTGAGGAGTCTGGGAGTGGCATGCAGAGATTGGCTCAGCGGGTGATTCCCTTCCTTCTTCACTTAGAATGGGAGCTCACTGTGTCTGAGAGGGGACAGCAAGCCATCGGCCTTTTTGGTACCACGTTCTGGCCTTCACAAAACCGTGGCAGATTCCAGTGCTGAACCCTACAAGTTCATTCTGTCCAGCTGGCTCACGGTCCACTTGGAGTCAGAGTCGGATTGTCCTTTAATGCACCTACACTTCTGCCAGCTGGCTCTACACGGCATGCCCACAACCCCTTCCCTGAGCGTCTGGTAGTCAGCTAGGAGAGCTGACAGAATGTTGCCAGTTTATGCTGTTAATCAAGGGCAGCAATGAAGTCTCATGAAAGAGAGGCACAGGACAAAGCCTGGGGGAAGGGGAGCCTCCAGGACCTTTCCCACGCTTCCCCTCCCCCTCGATGCTCCTCCACGTGATCAGCTGCTGGAAGCTCCTGGGTCCTTGTCCTTTCCAGTTTATGGCAGACCCTACACAGCACAGTTAATTATGTTGGCCATTGATGAGCCTTGTCTTTCTCCTGTCCCTAGAGGGCAGGAGTGATGAGGTAAAACTTCCCAGCCTTCCAGTCATAGGCTTGCTTTCTCTGGTAACCAGAGGAGCTCTATGTCAGACACTACTATCACTTAAGAAATTGCAAAGGTTTTAGGGATCAAATACAAAATTAAAAAAAAAGATTCTTCCAGTACCATTCCCTATGAGGTATAAGAACCTCTGACTCAGTTGCTTGAGAGAAGAGCTCAACTATGTATTTCTTGCTATGTCACAGAGCAGGGACCGGTGGCCGGGCAGCCAGGGGAGAGACCGCTGCAGTGTGGAGGGAAGTGGACAGGACTTCGGTCCCACCACTCCATCAGTGATACGCTGGGGCCATGGCTTCTCTTGTGGATCTGAATTCCCTCCTCTGTGAATGGAAGCATAGAGCCCTGTACCAGCCAGAGCCCTGGAAATGGCAGGGGGAACATGGGGTCCCCAAGGATGCAGGTCTGGGGCCTTGGCTGCTGACTTGGTGTGGTGGACACAGGGCAGGGAGAAGGTCCTCTGTGGGATGTGGTGCTTCTCAAGGTGAGATGGTGCCATGCTGACAGCCCCAGGCAATAAGCCCCTGCCAGCAGTTAGGGGGCCAAGTTCTTTCCAGATTTCCCCTCTATAATGAGCATGGCTCCCTTTGGATTAGAGTCTGCTCTGCTCCAGTGTGACCTTGTCTTAACCAGTTATATCTTGTTAAAGAAGGGAGGGAGGAAAGAAGAGAGGGAGGCAGGGAGGGAAGGAAGGAATTAGGAAGGGAGAGAGTAAGATGGGAGGGAAGAAGGGAGGAAGATGGGAGGGAGGAAGAGAAGAAGGGAGAGAGGGAGGGAGGAAGGGAGGGAGGGAAGGAGGAAGAAAGGAAGAGAGGAAGGAAGGAAGGAAGGAAGGAAGGAAGGAAGGAAGGAAGGAAGGAAGGAAGGAAGGAAGGAAAGAAGGAAGGAAGGAAGGGAGGAAGGGAGGGAGGGAGGGAGGGAGGAAGAAAGGAAGAGAGGGAGGAAGGAAGGAAGGAAGGAAGGAAGGAAGGGAGGGAGGGAGGGAGGGAGGGAGGGAGGGAGAGAGGGAGAGAGGGAGGGAAGGAGGGAAGAGAGAAGGAGGAGGAGGGAGGGAGGAAGAGAAGGAAAAAGGAAGGAAGGGAGAGAAGAAGGAAGGAAGGGAGGGAGGGAGGGAGGAAGGGAGGGAGGGAGGGAGGGAGGAATGGGAGGGAGGGAAGGAAGGAGGGAGAGAAGGAGGGAGGGAGGAAAGGAAGGAAGGCAAGGGAGGAAGGAAGGAAGAAAGGAAGGAAGGGAGGAAGGGAAGAAGGGAGGAAGGAAGGAAGGAAGGAAGGGAGGAAGGGAGGGAGGGAGGGAGGGAGGAAGAAAGGAAGAGAGGGAGGAAGGAAGGAAGGAAGGAAGGAAGGAAGGGAGGGAGGGAGGGAGGGAGGGAGGGAGAGAGGGAGAGAGGGAGGGAAGGAGGGAGGGAGGGAGGGAGAGAGGGAGAGAGGGAGGGAAGGAGGGAAGAGAGAAGGAGGAGGAGGGAGGGAGGAAGAGAAGGAAAAAGGAAGGAAGGGAGAGAAGAAGGAAGGAAGGGAGGGAGGGAGGGAGGAAGGGAGGGAGGGAGGGAGGGAGGAATGGGAGGGAGGGAAGGAAGGAGGGAGAGAAGGAGGGAGGGAGGAAAGGAAGGAAGGCAAGGGAGGAAGGAAGGAAGAAAGGAAGGCAAGGGAGGAAGGAAGGAAGGGAGGAAGGGAGGAAGGGAGAGAGGAATGAAGGAGGGAGGGAGGGAGAACATGTGGAACCAGACCCAGGCAGACAAGTAACATGGCAGCAAGGCATGGTGCGCAACAGCAGAATTATGGGAGGTCAAAGGCAGCGTTGACCTAATCCCAAATTCCCAGGATTTTCCAAAGACGTCCGGTTGGAGATTGACTGGTGATGTATCCCAACACTGACCGATCAGGACACAGGCAGTGTCCGGCCTGAGAAGAGCCTGGTTTCTAGTTCTCACCCTCCCTGGGGCTCCCAGAGGCCCTGTCACTGACCTTGCCCTCAGTCATGAGAAGCACGGGTGGGGGTGGGGGACGTCCTGAAGGGAGCAGGGACCTGCTGTGAGCATCGAGTTTGCTCACGGAGTACACTGGGCCCTGCGCGCTCTACCTCGCACCCATACGACCTTCCTGGGTCATGGCCACACACCGTGCACTGGGCTGAGAGGAAGCCACAGGCCCGGGAATTTGGAAACATCATAAAGCCCCTTTTAGCAGAGGGCACCAGGTCTTAGACATGCCCTTGAGTTAGGGCAACATGAGAGAGCCTCAGCCTCAAAGGAGAAAACTGAGCACAAGTTGAAGTTCCAGATGTGGCCCATTTCTGAGCAAAGAGCCCTGGCCTCAAGGTTCTGATCCCCAGGCCTCTAATCTGATGGAAGACCTTCCACTTTTCCCTTGGCCCTCTGAGCATCGTGGGGTTACTGTGCCTGGAAGTGGGTACAATGACCTCTGCATACCCACCGTTGTGAGACTTGCCCACTGACCACAGAAAATGGACGGCAGGCTTGTGGGGAAGCAGCCCAAGGCCACAGAATCCACAGGAAATTGACTGCAGGAAGCGAAGGAATCCCGCCTGGCAGAAGGAGGGTGGTCAACTGTGTCCTTTGCTCTGCTCCGGAGCACCAGCAGCTGGCAGCCTGGCATTTCCACCTCTCGGGAGGCAGATGGTGGCCAGCATGGCCTTGGGGCACAGTGAGCAGGCAGCGTGGTGAGAAGCTCTGACTCAAGCCACTGTGTCTGCTGAGGTCTGTTGGCCAGTGCATGGAAAGCCGGACAGAGCAGGATGGGCGGGGCTGGGCTGGGGTGGGGACAGAGCCCTGGGATCAGAGACAATAACAGGCTGCAGCCCAGCCCGCCCTCTGCCCTTTCCTGAGCTCCGTGGGCTGCCTTCTCTGCGGTGCACACGCTTGGTCTCTGGACAGAGTGAGTACACCATTGGGATGGGACCCGGTGGGCTTGGGGTGGAGGGGACAGGCCCCAGGGTACCTAAAGTTCTGTGGGGTCCCAGGGTGGCAGGAAAGGCCTCTGTGGTGTCCAGCAATAAGCTGGGTCCTTGGGCAGGGGGAGGGGGAGGTCAATGAGGTGAGTCTTCCCTCCCCCAGCCACCTCAGCAACACTGAGCCTCAGTTTCCTCACAGGGAAGACGGAAACGGTTACGCCATCTACACAATGTAACTGAGACACAGCTACAATGCTGTGACTCACGCAGGCGTCACCTGTGCAGACGGGCTAGGTGGTCACCGCCAGAAGGGACGTTACAGGCATCTGGTAGGCAAAGGCAGAGGTGTTGACAGTGATCCCACAACGCCCAGCACAGCCCCCCTACAAGATCCTGCAGGCAGAAGTGGGGGGGGGGCCTCTGAAACAAGGCTACAGGACAAGATGGGGACACAGCAAGTTTTTCTGTTCTCAGTGCCTGTTGTCTTGGACCTTAGAAGTCAGGAAAAACTCAAATGTGATCGGCTCAGCTGAGAACAAACAGCCCCTCACACTCCCCGGGATAGACGCTGGAGGCTGCCCGCAGGCTGGTCCTGCCGCTTCCCTGACCCCCGGGGGCTGTGACCAAGTGTGACACAACAGAAATCACATGAGAGGAATATCCAGTTTTTCTAAGGGTGGGGCTTTGAGAACAACAACAACAAAAAATAATAAAACAAGGGGAAAATCCTAGTGAAGGAACAGATATTGGATCATCACACACACACACACACACACACCACTGCATACTTCCTCAGCTGAGTCTAGAATCAACCATGTAAGACTCTGCAGCTCACTCATGTTGGGCCAGGAAGGACCAGCCAGCCCAGGGTCTCCCTGTCCTCCTTTGGGACCTGGGGCAGACATACCCTGGCTCTGTGTTGGTACAAATCTCCATCCAAGCTGTGTATTTCCATCAGAGCAGAATGCGAATGCTCAGGCTTTCTAATAATTTTTTAAAAAAGAAAAATGAGCTCTTGAGGACTCTTCTCGCCATCAAAGAAGCCTTTCTGGCCTTTGGTTCCTCTTCTGCGATACTAAGACAATCCCAAGTCTGTAAGGGACCTAATGCAAGAGAACAGCCTGAGAAAAGCCGGCACCCAGCAACCAGGAGATAGGGGCAAGGAAGGAGGTGTCATTCCCCAGAGCCACAAAAGGCAGCCAAGGTCAGTGCGTGAGCTAGCCAGAAGCACCCAGATATGAACCCAGGTTCCATCATTCCCTAGCTAGAATAAGCTTTTCCATTTCTCTCAGCCTCCGTTTATCCATCTGTAAAATGGAGCTGATGACCAGGCCTTCCTGCTGTGAATTTAGATGTAGCCATACCTACAGAGAGTCTCTTAGGTCCTTCCAAAATAGTGGCTTTCCTAAAGGAGTGGATCCAGACAGAACAAGACCACCCAGGGGATCCGATGTGACCTTGGGCCTTGCAGCACAGACCCTGCTATCCCAGGAGACCTAGAGAGCTGTTGGTCAAGGTGGGGGAGCTATGGTGATACAGCTGCTCTTGTCCCCCAGAGTGTTGATTATAGACAGACCTGGTATTGTCAGTGAAGAAACTGAGGCCCAGGGAGCAGGAGCAGCTTGCTAAGGAGACCCGACCAGCTGCATGGGTTCTGGGGCCCCTTCTTCCTGTAGGAAAGCTCTCATCTTTGCCCTGAGCTTTTGTGGGTTGTCCAGAAGGACCTCCCCCACACAGGGGTACAGAACACAAAGACGGGCAAAGGACACAAGACTTCCTCCCCACCGTGTCTTGAAGACTTGGAAGGGCGCTATCTTGTGAGAACCAAGAGGGAGTGCAGCAAGAGGGCAGAGCGTTGCTGAATTATCTGCTGATTAGGGTTATCTACCTCGGGGCTCACAGAAGCAGGATTTTGAGGCACAGCCCAGGGATCTGGGGGCGTCGAATGGGCAGTGCTTAGAGACGCTCTCCTGTCTGTGGAATGGAGCCTGAGCCGCCCCTTGATGGACAAAGTTAGATCAAGACAGAGAGCTCAGTGGAGGAGGGATGTCTCACTGGACTTCCTGTGGCCAGGTGAATACCGAGGCTGCTGTACCCCAATCCCAGGGGTTCTGCAGGCAGAATGTTCTAGAAGAGCCCCCTCTGAACTCAGGGTGCAGCTTGAGGTTGGAGATGATGGGGATGAACACAACTCTGGACACAGAGGCAGGCCTGCAGTCCTATCTGCAGCTCCCACGCCTTCCCGGCCAGGGGTCTTACCATGGGACGACCACTCTGCTGCTTGGACCTTTTGGGGTTTGGATCTGCTTGGGTCTTAGGACCACAACAAGCTATCCCTCCTGATCTGGGTCCAGGGGACTCAATGTAATGGTGACATGGGGACCCCAGAAACCTGGATTCTTCCCAAGAACAGTGCAAGGATGAAACATCACCAAGCTTGTGTCTGCACGCATGGGAAGCTTGCACCCCACGCCACCCCCTGAGGAACTGGGGTGTCAGCTGGGGGCTTTGGGATCTGCCATGTGATATACCTCATGTCCCGCAGCTCTGGCAGCATGCCACACTAGGGGTCTGTTGTCACCCTAGGGGTGGGCTGTCACAGTAAGGGTGGGCTGTCATACTGGGGCGGGCTGTCAAACTAAGGGAAGGCTGTCACACTAGGGGCGGCTGTCACACTAGAGGCAGGCTGCCACCCTACCAAGGCCCCAGGTAGGCCTTGGCTCTGGGAACAGCAACTTGCTACTAAGAGAATACAGTGAGCTGAGGTTTGAACCCAGACAGCAAATGAGGAGGTACCAGCGAAGTAGATGATGGGAGGCCCCGAGGTGGGTGCTGGACAGACAGACTTGAGGGAAGAGGAGGAAGAGGGACTAACGGTTCGAGGAGGAGGCAGGAGCATAGAAAGCCCCCAGAGGTCCACCTGAGAGACAGGAGGAATTGCAGCCTCCACTGCAAGACTTAAGGAGAGACCCCACAGGCTGGGGGCTTAGACAGCAGGGATCTATTTTCTCACAATGCTGCGTGGGAGAAGTCCAAGATCAGAGAAATAGCAGCACACCTCTCCTGGGCTGACAGGTGCTACACACTCTGTGTCTTCACACAGTCATCCCTAGGTGTGTACCTGGGCCCTATCACCCTCTTTATTTATTCATTTTAATTTTCTAGTACTGGGATTTGAGCATAGGACCTCACATCTGTTTGGCTGGCACTCTACCCCTTGAGCCAGACCCCCAGCCAGGCTTTTTGCTAGTTGTTTTAGAGCTGGAGTCTCATGAACTTTTCTATCTGGGCTGGCTTCAAACTCAGCCTCCTGAGTAAGTAGGACTATAGAGTGAGCAGCCAACAGTGGGCTCACAAAGATTAGTGTCCATCCAATGACCTCATTTCAATGCTTTGTACATGTCCCTCTGCAAATGAAGTTTCACAGTGAGGTGTTGGGGTGAGGATTTCATACGAATTTTAAGGGGCACTAGTCACCCCCTAATGGAAGAAGAAAGAGGTCTGGATTCCCACACTGAGTGTGCAAGCATTTTTCAGGAAGGGGCAGTGCCCACAAGGGTGACTTGGAGCAGCCTCAGGAAGAGGAGGGGATTAGTGGACACCCCAGTGCCCTCCTTGGCTTCTCGCTGCACAAGGGAGCAGCTGGGCTGAGCTGATAGGACCTCAGGGCTGGTCAGGAAACCCACAGAAAAGTCTGTGACCACGGGTACAGACTCCCGTTCCCTGGCAGCCTCAGCAATGCTGACAGGACAGAGCGTGAGAGGCTCTCTCCCCCACCCCACCCTGACTTCCCACATACATCTTGATGGCATGCCTGGGGAAGAACCCTGTCCTGGTGGCCATACCTGTGCCTCCTCTGCCTTCTGCTTCCTCTCCTGACTGCTGGACATCATGCCCCCGAGTCTCTCCTGAAGCAGCTGTCTCCCTCTGCTACAAACTCTGCCCCAGCCTTTGCAGGGCAGCCCTGTAGATCCACCCTACATGTTGGGCATTGGGTGTGTTCATCCCTCCACAGTGCCAGCCTTGCTGGCTTCCCAGCGTCTCTCTCTACAGGAAGTAGCCCAGCCATGCCCTCTCTAAGAACACCTTCTTGTTCTTCCTTTCAGGGCGGCCATCATGAAGCTGGTCCTCCTCCTGTGCCTGATGCTCCTCAGCCCTCAGGTTACCACGCGCCGCCACCACCCCCGGGAGATGAAGAAGAAAGGCAGGGAGCCCTCTGGCAGAGCTACAGTGACCTCCAGTCCCAAGGATTTCACCTTTGACCTCTACAGAAGCTTGGCTTCAGCTGCCCATGGCCAGAACATCTTCTTCTCCCCTGTGAGTGTGACCACCAGCCTGGCCATGCTCTGCCTGGGAGCCCAAGCCCACACAAAGGCACAGATCCTGGAGAGTCTGGGCGTCTACCTCCAGCAGAGGTCAGAGGACCAGCTCCATGAGGACTTCAAACAGCTCCTGCAGGAACTCAGCCAACCCAGAGAGGGCTTCCAGCTGACCCTGGGCAACGCCCTCTTCATGGACCCTGCAATCGCCGTTCAGGACAGCTTCCTAAGGGCCATGAAGACACTGTACCTGGCAGACACCTTCCCCGTCAGCTTTGGAGACCCCATCGCAGCCATGAAGCAGATCAACGACTATGTGGCAAAGCAAACCAATGGCAAGATTGTGGACCTGATCCGCAACCTGGACAGCACCCATTTCATGGTGATTGTGAATTACATTTTCTTTAAAGGTGAGAATTGGGGCTGAAATCTGTACTTTCTCTCTCCTGCCTCCTGCTTTTAGCAAAACAATAGACACAAAAGGGAACCAGGGGGTGGCTTTCAACCCCCCTGGGGCCTGGGATACAGGAAAGACGGGACTTTCTTGCTGGTGATATGGTGTCAGTGGAGGCAGGGTGCCCTTCCCTGCCGTCTCTCAGAGAATGAGTATGGCTTGAAAGAGGTTGGCGGACATGTCCCAGCCCCTCCCTCACCCGGCCCTTGCCTGCTGCCCTTCCAGTTGCCTTGCTACCAGGATGTCCTCAGAGAAGCACCTGCTGCTTCTCTAAAAAGTTCTCTCCTCTCCTATACTGCAGGTGAACACCCAGCCCTGCCAGTGGGCGACTCTATGTCTCCTTCTAGATGAGGTGCTCCTGGCAGCCCTCCCAGCTCCCACTGGGGAGGGGGAGGGAGCAGGAGTGGAGAAAGAGGAGGGAAAAGAGAGAAAAGGCAGGAACGGGGGGGGGGAGTCCAATTGTCCTGTCCCTGTTTCAGCAGCCACAGACAGCCAGGGTGGGTCTAGGTCTGTTCTGGAGTTGAGGATCAGCCGTAGATTCGGAGTCTGCCGAGGCTGTCCCCTGATTTGTGGCCAGTGTCCATGGTGGGGCCTCTCCTGTAAGGATGACAATCCCATTCATGAGGCTCCGCTCTTATCACGGATTTGATTCCCAAGGACCCCACCTCCTAATACTGTCACCCTCAGGGTTAGGACCAACAAATGAATTTTGGAGAATAGACACAAATGTCACTCGATGGTGGAGAGTGGCACACACGAAGTCTAGATTTCATGATTCCTAGCTCAGCATGGATCCTGCTACAGCAGGCTGCAGAAGACAAGTGTAAAATGAGTCTGATTTTTGGTGAGGGTCTGTCTTTATTAACTACTAAGACGTGAGAGTCAGACGTGGTAACTCACTCCTGTAATCCCAGTTACTTGGGAGACAGAAACTGGGAGGATGGAGGTTCAAGACCAACTCAGGCAAATTAAGTAAGACCCCATTTCAACTAGTAATCTGGATGTGGTGGTGTTTGCCTGTGATACCAGGTATTCAGGGGGGAAGTTGTAAGATGATTGCTCTCCAGCCTGGCTTAAGCAAAAGAGAAAATGCGGGGGTTGGAGGAGGGAAGAGAGACCTTGTTCACATGACAGCTTTCTGGGAGGGAGGGGGAATATCATATCTTTCCAGCAGAGGAAACTGAGACCAAAATCAAATATTAAGGAAAGCAGAGGAACTCTCTGTCAGGTTGAGCATGGTCTGCCATCTTGTACTTGGCTGAACTTCTTCCATTGGCTATTTGACTAATAGCAGAGAATCAAAGAACACAAAGAGCCAAGGTCCTCAGCAGACAGTAAAGCTGATCTTCTCAGGGAGCAGGTGGAGATGCGGGGGATGGGGGAGAGGATGGAGGGGAGGCCCATAAGAGGTCCAGGCCATCCCAGAGTTATTAAAGAACTTACCTTTGGGCCTTGGGAGTTTGGGTGTCCTGCTGCTGGGGCCCCTCCAAAGAGGAAGCCTCTATGTCTGCAGTCTGTCTCCATTCTTTATGGGCAGGTGAGGTTTTCTCCTTCTTAGACAAAGCTCTCTTCCATCAACATCCCTATGTTTTCTTTAGCTAAGTGGGAAACAAGCTTCAACATCAAGAACACTCAGGAGCAGGACTTCCACGTGACCCCGGAGAGGGCCGTGCGGGTGCCCATGATGAACCGCGTCGACGAGTTTGACTACTTCCTGGACCAGACCCTTGCCTGCAGGGTGGTGGGCATCCCCTACCAAGGCAACGCCACGGCGCTGTTTGTTCTCCCCAACCAGGGCAAGATGGAGCAGCTGGAGAATGGGCTGAGCCAGAACACAGTGAAAAAGTGGCTTCGCATGTTCACAAAGAGGTACTCGTCAGAGTACTCCCGGGTCAGCCCAGTGCTACCCTCCCATCCCCAGGCCCCAGGGTGGTCCGGGCCTAACAAGGGCTCAAGCAGCCAGTGAGCTGCCTCTACATCTGGGCATTTCATGAGGTCATGGGCCCAGGGATGTGGCCCTGCTGAAGGAACCAGAACTGAGAGCTAGCTTTCCCCGGGGGGGTCTGGAGCAGGCAGTTACCTCTGAGGTCAAGCCATTTGCGTCCACAGCATAGGGAAGTCCATCTTAGACAAGGGGCCAGAGTAGCAGACAAGGCTGAAAGAAGCCAATTGAAAGTTATTCCATGAGCCCATGATCAGCCTAAAAGTGTGTCCTTTGTTTGTCAAGCTCTGGGGCTCAGGCTTATAATCCTAGCTACTCAGGAGGCTGAGATCTGAGGATCATGGTTTGAAGGTAGTCTGGGAAGGAAAGTCTGTGAGACTGAGCTATGGATTCAAAAAGGGTCTTGAGAACTTTTCTTAACCTCCCAAGTAATAGGCTTACAGTATGAATCACTCATGCTCAGATAGGAAAAGGACTTGTTTTTGTTTTTTTGTTTTTGCCAGTCCTGGGACTTGAACACAGGACATGGGTACTGTCTGTGAGCTTTTGTGCTCAAGGCTAGCACTCTATCACTTGAGCCACCACTCTTGTTTGGGTGTTTTGGTAGTCTCACAGACTTTCCTGTCATCCACAGCTACATGGGATACATCGTGGTTCCATTCTAACTAGGGCAGAAAAGTCCCTGAGACCACATCTCTACAGGGAGAAGCTGGACATAGTGTCTTGAGCCTGTGCTCCAAGAAAGGATAAAAGTCATGTGTCCAGATAGAAAGCAAGACCTTATTCTAAAAGTAATGAGAGAAAAACAACTCCAGACCTGGAAGCATCCAGCCAGCCTAGCAAACATGAGGCCCTGAGTTCAAACCCAAAAACTACCAAAAAAATTTTTTAAAAAGCTGTTTTGTTTTGGTGCTTGTTTTTCTCTCCAGGGAACTCCGGCTTTACCTTCCCAGATTCTCCATTGAAGGGTCCTACCAGTTGGAGAAAATTCTGCCCAGGCTGGGTATCAGTGATGTCTTCTCCTCCTATGCAGACCTGTCCGGCATCACTGACCACCCCAACACCCAGGTGTCAGAGGTGGGTCCTGAGACTCCTGAGTACCGGCCTTCAGATGACTCCATCCCTTCCCATCCCACTCCACTCCAACTCACCTCAGCCCACCCACCCTTCCCATCCATCCTACCCACCCATCCCATCCCCCACCCATCCCATCCCACCTCACCCCCCCATCCCCACCCAGCCCATCCCATCCTACCCCAAGCTAGCCCATCGGATCCCAGCCCCACCCAGCCCATATCTTCCTCCTTTCCCCTCCTTTCCTTTAAGTCTTATCCTTTTGGCAATGGAAAGCCATGCCTTGCCTAAGGGAAAGAAATCCTGTATCAAGTGATCAGATCTCAAAATCTGGGGCACCCATTTCTTTCTTCCCTAGATGTATAGCCTCCAGCGAATCCTTGAGTCTCCAAGCTTTTCTCTTGTCTGTAAAATTAGAGTCATATGTCATTGTCAGGTGTCACAGGAACTCAATGGCTGACATGTGCCTCCAGGTAGTGTCTGGCTCAGGGCACCTGCTCAGTGTTTTGGTGCTTTGGTGTTGATTCCCACAGACACGGTTTCCATGTCTATGCCAATTCTTGGAAAGACTCCCCCAGCCCCTGCGGTCCACTGATACCTAGTGTCCCCCTGCAGATGGTGCACAAAGCAAAGGTGGACGTGGATGAGGCAGGGACCAGGGCGGCTGCAGCCACAGGAGTCATCTTCACCTTCCGATCGGCCCAACTGAGTCCACCAAGAATCGTGTTCAACAGGCCCTTTCTGCTACTCATAATGCAGAACCAGAACATCCTCTTCCTTGGGAAAGTAAACCACCCCTGAGGGGGGCTGCTCCTGAATTCCACAGGCCTCCCATTGTGGGCAGAGCTCATAGGAGAGCCAAAAGTGTGGTATGGTCATCTGTCTGCTGGTAGCTACTGATTCACATAGGTTTAGTTGCCCAATGAGGTATCATAGGCCACAATGCTGTCAATATACTGATAATTGCTTCCTCTGATATACAGCAAGGAGACATGGGTGATTAGGACAACACTGGTCTTTCCTTTGCCTTTAGCCAGTGAAGATTAGCCTAGAGAGGCCTAGAGAGGCCAGCTGATGTGCCCAGGCTCACACTGTACCTTTGTGGCATGGACAGGCTAGAATCCAGGGCCACAAAGTTCTGCAGGGGAGTAGGTGTGAGCTACCACAAAGCACCTGTTTAAGTGTGGTCCCACCTATCAGCCAACAACTCTCAATTCATCATGGTTTGGGAAGAACTCTGGAACGAAGGTCTGGTATGGGTCTATAGCCTTGTCCACATGTGTGACACTGGCATAACACAGTCCATCTGTAAACCTGACTTTCCCCACATACGGAGAAGGATCAAGACAAGAATCCCACCCTTGGAAGCATTAAAGGCTGCTCTATGGCAGTCACGGTTGGCTCAGTCCACTCACATGCCACTCATCCATTAAGCACAACAGCTGACCATCATCTGTGAGTCCATCATGTTGGGGTCCAGTGCAGGATCACGCCGTCCCTAGAATGCAGCCATCATCTCTATCACCTCACAGGCCAGGCTACAGAGAGAGAACAGAGGTCTTCCGCACACAGTAGGGTGTTGATGGCAGGCACTGATGATTAGCTTTCCGAATTTTACTTTGTAATAACAATAAAGCATTTGCAAAGACTGGGTCCGGTTGTCTTTATGAGGCAGCTATCAGCAAGGTGATATTAATGATTTGGTACAGGACACCATCTGGGCACTCACATTCACCCTTCACAAAGCAAGTCATCGCTATGTTCACATTGTATAGATGGGGAAGGTAAGGGTTGGAGAGGCTAGGCAACTTGCCCTGACACATAGCTCACACTCGGTTGAACCAGCGTCGGATGACTCCGCTGGGAAAGGGCAGTACTCAGGTGTGTCTTGGCCATAGCAGCCTGTGGTTAATGCAGATGAGTTCCTTCTCTTCTCTTAATAGGCCAACAGGATGAGTGAGTCCTACCTCACTCAGCTTCACACCAATGGTCCCCTGGTCATCTGCCCACAGAACATCCACCCACCACTCTGCACTTTCCTATCATGCTTTCCCTAAGGCTGTGTCTAACACTGATCCCAGGGGCTGGATGGCATTGGAGATAGAAGCTCATTTGACATTACAAGATCAGAACCCCATGTTTTTACTGCCCTCCAAAGTACAAAGAACCTTCTGTGGACCGGCCCATACTGGCCACTTCGCATTTGTGAGATGATTTCTCCCTCAAAAACTCAGCAAGATCTACCATTGACATAGAAGAAGATAATAGCAGGTGATCACATGTCTATAACTAGGCCCAGACGTCTCATTTATGTTTGTGCTTTGAGCTCAGGATGACCCTCCAGGACTGAGCCTCCTTGTGAGACCACCTCACTCCTGTGCACCTTTTCCTTGCATAATATCTGGTCTTTCTTGGCAAATGTTCTCTTCCTGTTTATTCAACCAGTCCAAGGTCAGAGGTATGTCCTGCCTATACAGAATATCAAAGTCCAATGGTGTCTAAAGTTGACTCTCAAAAAACAGACTCAAAACAACTACTGTAGTGCAGGACAGGTGGCATCTCATGCATTCGGTCTCTATTGTATGTTGTACATTGCAGTCTGTCCCATGCATGGTTACAGGATAATTAGCTCAACATCAGTATAATCCTGTATTCAGAGAAGAGCTTGGCAGCTCAGAAGGAGACTCAGAGAGAAGATGAAGAAACCTTTGGCAGAAGGAGATGGAGCTCATTTTAAAGAAGACCTGGACTTGAGGAACAGGTAGAAAAGACCAGCTGGAAAGAGCCTGAGATGAGTGAAGCCTGGGGTGAGGGGATTACAGAGGCTCTTCTGGACCAGTGGAGCGAGTATGAAGCAGAACAGAGAGATAGCAAACTGTTGTGCTGATGGCACAGGAACAGTGAACCTGGACAGGAGGCCAACACCTTATCTGTTTCTCATCGCTATGACCATGGTTTGGCATCCACAGCAGGGACAAGGGTCCCTGTACCCTTCCCTGTCCCTTTTCTCCATTTGTGCCTCAGCAGGTGCCTCTGCTCAGCCCTCTAGGGGGTGCTCTCAGCATCTTCTCCAAGGTCTCCTCAACACATTCCCAGGACTGACCTCGTCCATGGAGCAACCTACGTAACCCCTGGAGTCTTGTGCTTAGGCACCAAATCTGCTTCCAAGGTTGCCATGGCAAAGCGCCACAGCCACAGAAAGGGATCCACTCACAGACAAGATCAAGTTAGGGCTGGCTCTGCCTTAGGCCTGCTCCTCTGCTTATAGACAGCCTTCCCTACTCGTGTCCTCCGGTGCTCTTTCTGTTGTGGATTTCTGTGTCCAATTTTATCTTATCAAGATATCAGATGCATAGAATTCATTTTCTCAGGCGAGGTTGCACTGGTATGCAGGTCTTGGTTTAAACAAACAACACTATGAGAACAGGAGATGTGTACATATACACTAGAGGAGCTGGGAGGAGCCTGGAGGGGGGCTGACTGTGCTGCACGGAGTCTGTATGTCCTAAAACTGGTCTCAAAATAAAAAGGGCAAGCCGGCCAGTGGCTCACTCCTGTAATCCTGGCTACTCAGGAGGCTGAGATCTGAGGATCACGGTTCAAAGCCAGCCCAGGCAGGAAACTCCATGAGACTCTTATCTCCAATAAACCACTAGAAAACCAAAAGTGGTGCGGTGGCTCAAGAGGTAGAGCACTCGCCTTGAGCTGAAGAGCTCATGGACAGTCCCCAAGCCTAAAGTTCAAGCCCCACGACTGACAATAAATAAATACAGAAAGAAAGAAAGGAAGGAAGGAAGGAAGGAACGAAGGAAGGAAGGAAGAAAGAGAGAGAGAGAGAGAGAGAAAAGAAAAGAAGAGAAGAGAAAAGAAGAGAAAAGAAAAGAAAGGGCGATTTTAAAATAAAATTTTCCAAAAGAAGAAGAGATTCAGGAAAGGAATAGATAGCAGTAAACTTGGGAATCCAAGTGGAGAGGAGAGTCCCTTAACTGGAAAGGGTTTCGGGGCTTTTGGCAGTCAGAGGAATGTTGAAGTCAAGACTTGAGGGATAAAGGTTAAGAAAACAAAAGTCCCGAGGTGGGACGGGGTGGGCGTCTGGAGGCAGGATGGAGAAGCAGTACAAAACGGAGACTCACTCTTCTCAGTTGAGACAGCGGACGGTGTGCTAGGAGGCAGTGAGGGTAATGACACAGGCCACACTTAGAGGCCAAGTCCTTAGTGCCTGGCACTTACTCTGAACTGTATTTGCATACATTGGCTCAGCTGAGGAAGAGGCGAATGAGGAGGTGCTGGTGCAGGGAGCTGAGGGACAGTAGGCAGCAGATGTGGCTGGCCTGTAGAGGAGCTCCACCTCTGCAATGAGATCACAGAACAGACTGGGCCTGGGCGAGCTGGTCCTTCGGTTGTTTTTTTGTCAGTCCTGGGCCTTGAACTCTGGGCCTGGGCGCTATCCCTCAGCTCTTCAGCTCAAGGCTAGCACTCCAACACTTGAGCCACAGTGCCACTTCCTGTTTTCTGGTGATTTATTGGAGATAAGAGTTTCCTGCCCAGGCTGGCTTTGAGCTGCAATCCTTAGATCTCAGACTCCTGAGTAGCTGGGATTACAGGCATGAGCCACAGGCTGAGCTAGTCCTTTTTGATGACAGACCCCAGCTGGCAACCAAACTTACCCTCACATTTTATATTTGTTTTCATCTTTTTTTCTTTTGTTTCCTTTATCTCTTTTCTGCTACTAATAGTCTACCCTGCTTCACCCTTCCTTACACGAATACTCATCTGTTTTCTGCACTCTTGTAACTCCTGTGAGAAAAGCTTCTTTTCTGTTGGAGTAATTTTTGTCCTTTCTGCTAATCTTGAGAGCTGTTTTTCTGAGAAGTTCCTGCTTTGCCAGGTGGCTTGGCCCTCATTCATTACATTTTAGTTACATACATCCTTTTCTCAGCACTTACAGTAAGACATTCTATTAGAAGCTCCTTGACTTTTCATTACTTACTGTTAATTAAGCCACATCCCTTCACAGATTGTGAACCTGAGCTCAGCCCATGTGAGCAGAGGGGCGGGGCCTGCTGGGTTGGAGATAAAAAGGAAGCAGCCTGCCTGCTCTTTGCGCTTGCTGGCTGATGCACACCCTTCTGCAGAACTAAACTTGAGTTCCTTTGGAGTGGTGTCTTTATTCCTGTGCAACACCTCAACATGCCGAGCTATTTCTAATACTCCTGGCTTCACCACCCTTCTCTGCATCAAGTAAACTATGTACCAGCAGGTGAGTACAGTAGTACCCGCATCCCTCACTCCCCATCCCTGCTCTCACCACCTTCCTTACTCCTCTCTTTCTCACCCTCTCTGATCTGACCAGGGCCTCATAGTCCAACACAAAAACACAGCCCCCAGTGCATTTGATGTAACTGGTTGACTGAAGTCGCCAAAAGCATTTTACTGTATGTAAATATTTTGTTCGGTTTTGAAATGGGAAAATGATTAGAGTTGAGTTTTACCCGTGGCCAGAAACTGTTCATCAGGTCAGCAAATAGCAGCCCTGTGAGAATATAGAGGCCCACACATAAGTAAACCCCAACACAAAAAGCATATTATGAGAAAACATGGAAATGCTGGTGGAGAAGGAACACAATGTACTGAGCCTAAAAAAAAGTTGATAAGAAAGTTCAGTGAAAGAAAAGAGGAAATATACCAGCAGTGACCTGAACACAAACAACACAAAGAAATAGATTCAATGAAAACACAGATAAAAAGCTTGATGAATTCCAAGTCAATACAGATAAACAGTGAAATGAGTTCAGAGAGAATTTGCATAGCAGCTAAAAGAAGTCAAGAAAACATAGATGAACAGATTAATGAAGTGATATATGTCAACAAAGAGACAGAAAACCTAAATAGGAAAATCAAACAATCAAAGTGGAAAGCTTCTCCAGCTTTTCCAGATGATATGGAAGACAGAATTTCAGGCTTGAAGATAGAACAGATACAATAGAAAACAAATAAAATACAAGGGAAAAGATGAAAGAAATTTAAGTGGAATTTGCGAGAAACTCAAAAGAACAAAGTACACCTTACGGGCATTCATAAAGGTGAAGAGATGGTAGCTAAAGGCATAGGAAACATTCAATAGAGTAAAAACAAAAAAGAAAATCCCAACTCTTAAGAAATTTACATCTAGCCAGGTTCAAGAGGGTTTGGGTTTGGGTTTTTGTTTTGTTTTTGTTTGTTTGGGGAGGAGTTGCTAAATTTTCCATTTATTACCCAATAGTGATTATTACAAACAAATAGCTGAAGGAAAGAAAACTGAACTGACACGAGAACAGAATGGTAAAAGCAAACAGGAAGATGTTGAAAATGAAGGTTCAGTGTAGAAATGTAGAAAATGAGGTTCAATGGAAAAACTGAGTTGCATCAAAGGGCTGGGAAGGTGGCTCAGTGGTAGAGCGCTTGCCTTGCATGCATGAAGCTCTTTGTTCGATTTCTCAGCACCACATAAGCAAAAAGAAAAAAGGCGGAAGTGGCGCTGTGGCTCAAGGGGTAGAGCGCTAGCCTTGAGCTGAAGAGCTGGGGGACAGCGCCCAGGCCCAGAGTTCAGGCCCCACGACCAGACCCCCCCCAAAAAAAAGTCGTATCATTTGCTAATGACAATAACTATTG